AAGCTACACACATATATTAGATGTAGGCCCTTTATCAGGACAATCCCAGTTGGGACTACAGAGAAAATTTAAAGGAACTTTCGTCCCCTAACCCTTCGGGGAAGCATACCTTACGGCCCCTGACGCCTAACCGCTACAGTATGCGCTGCGACTCGTCCTTTGCCGCGTCTGCGTCTCTTCCTTCGCCGCGCGACGGGCCTCTTGGGGGACCCCCGATTTGTTCAATATTGTGCAGCATTTAGTACTAGATGGGTGCGAAGACGCAGTTGTTAGTCAGGAATGAGATTTGGGGATATGAAATTTGACTCCGATGAGTGGATGAGCAAGCTTCCCTGTACAAGAAACGGGTCCACATTTTGAGAAGTGATTCACCCACTTAGGAGGTTCCTCTCTGAGTATACGCAAGTATACTAAGTAAAGTATAAGTATACGCAGAAATCCTCATCCAAACCTGCATTGGGTGCCCGGTGGTTGTAGGTAAATAGCGTTCAACATTATTGTGGTAGTCGTATAAGGTAATTAGTAGTGAATTGGCGCAATGCCACGTCCACAGCTTCTAGCCTTCCATTGCTCACATTGAAACCACGTTTGGCTCATGGCGGAACACTTGGCGAGCCGTTGAGATCGACTGTTAGTAGAATTCTTTTCCAGATTTGTTCGTAATGAGGAGTGGCAGGAGACCTCCTGGATGAGGCCTCTGTTGAAGGGCATTCTGAGCGAACCGTATACGAAAAACACTGCAACGAGATAGCAGACGTCAAAGGAATGGGAGAGCATAGCGACATGCGATACCCAGACACCTACATGGCTTGAGTCCCATTCGAAGTCACATACGATATGTGATCTCGTGAGCAAAGCAACCAGCGCTCTTACCACGCGCTTCACCCAATTCAAGAACGCTTCGCTCCCTACAGGTGGGTTTACCCAAGTAGGACCTCACAATCCTGCGCGGACTTCACCCATTTTCGCTCCTGAGCTGTTCTGAACTTTGGAAACCAATTTCCACCGCAGAGAGGTGGGGGAAGAGGGGATCTTCATGAAATTTCCGAAATCCCCCCCCCCCTCCCAACAGGCTCATCCTGTTTCATATTACCAGTAAACAGTGCGTCGTTCCCAATTAATCGCCTTTTCAATTACTCAATGTTACTCCAATCATTTTGTAAGATCCAATCAAAACTTAAATTGACAAGATTGAATGGTGACAGGTAACTGGAACACTTTAATTCAGCGTAATCTCCCACTCAGCGGCCACAAACCCGTAAGACTGATATAATTAAGAATTAAGCCACGACAAGCCATGAAGCTCTAATGTTTACGGCACCACATCTCTAGTAATGCTTTTCCGAAATGACATGGAAGACCACCTCAACAAATTTATCACAAACAGAAAATGAACCAAACAATAACAAATCTACGCTTTTTTTGGTAAATTGTAACATAGAAAGAAACTTACAATCGATAACAAAAATCAGGGAGAAAATCTTGGCAACCGATGTTACTTGCCAGAATATTTAGGTTTCGTCTCTAGAATTCCTCAACAACTTTTGAGTTTTTGAAAACCAGAAGCCAAAAAATAAAAGCAGATGACTGTCAAAAATGGAGATAAGATAAAATGTAAATATAAAAAACAAGAAATAAATAAATAAATAAATATATCTATAGAAAAGCAGACAAAATAGTGCTACGACTACTCTGAAAAACTGATCAATAAAACTGATTTACCTCATAAAGTTTCTGCATGTGTCGGATGAAATGCTCTCCAACCCGACGTGCTACTTTCGTATCGGCAATGCAAATCATATCCTAAAACAAAAAACGTTGTTCAAGGGTTACAATAAAATGTAGTAGTAAAATTGAGCTCCAAACCTGCTCAATACATATCTACTTTTAGCTAGTTAGGGAAATAATTAGCTGATTTTCAACTTTTCGCGATATCGTAAAGAACACTATCTGATAAGATAGAACGTAAGATCATGCAATTATTTTCAATTTGGGAAAACTGAAATAAGTAAAAAGTGCACGAAATCCCAGATTTCTTGATGAAGCCGACCAGCACCCGAGTTTTCGCTTAATAGAAAATATAAAGCGAAAAAGGAATAGAAACACACGATCTCAGAATGAGGATATTAGAAATAGCACTTCATTTTCAGGAGAAGAACATACCTTATCAACGTAAAAATCAATATCCGTATTCGGTTCGTCGTCGTCATTTGAAGATGCTAGCGAATCCTTGCCTAGTTCATTGACCACCATCTAGAACTGTTTTATGAGGGAATAGATTTCAGATGTTTTCTACAGTAGCTAACCTTGTATGTTAACAGCTTTCCCAAGAAAGAGTCATAATTCTTATCGTCAACATCCATGAACGATGCTAGTTTTTTCGTTGGCAGGGATGTGTATAATTTTAGGTATCCACGTAGAACCGGCAGCGCCATCTGAGCTTCAACGCCTTCAAGGAAAGCTTGCGATTGACGCAAAAGTGGCTCCTAAAAATAAAATAAGGTGGTGAACGGGCAACATATTTTTAACACTAACCTTAGATAGATTTGAGCCTTCATAAACGACGGTAGTTGGCGAAAGGAACTTCGGACATCTGCAATAGAATTCATTGTTGCAAGCAAAGAGAATGAGACACCACACCTAGTATTTACGTCGTCCAACTCAAGAGAGCTAAATTTCAAAAACTATTGAATAACGTAAGTAGAAGCTCACCCCATCTGGAACGCTAGACGAAACTCGTCCAAGTCACCATTGCCCATACGTGACATGCGGTCACCACATCGCTCAGCGAGTTGGGATGCGTCACACATCTCGCTCAGGAAGTTGGATGCAATCGACTCATCGATGCGTTGAGGCTGTATAGCCAAGCAGATCGCAAGTAAATGGAAAAGTTGGTCATAGGTTTTGCCAATCTAAATATTTTCAAATAAATAGCGTAATAAGAACAATCTAACCCTAAAACTCCTACTTAAACTTAGGCCAACTTGATCATTTTCTCTAACCCACGATCAAATCGAGTACCCTTCATTGAAAGGCGATTTCTTTCTAAGGAAAGTTATATTCAAGCTCACCACATCATACTGGAAGTTCTTCTGCTTCTGTTGCTGAGTTTGGATTGCTTTCGTCCTTTGATAAACATCAAACAGTTTACAAACATCTTCGTTGCTTCACCATAGTTTCGCATCATCATATGTGAGAAACCCGACAAAATAATGCAATGTCACGAGACATGACGGAACGGTGTTGTAAAGGCCCTGAAAGCGCGAACTTTCATTGAACTTCACTGCAGCTTTCCTTTTGAAAATATCAAAAATATTTTCAAAAATTGTACCACACAAAAAAAGGGCGCATGCATGCACGTGCGCAATCCTATAACTGATGCAGTTCGAGCACATTAATGAATAATAACAAAGGCTTTAGAAGTTCCTATTTCCTCAATCTGGAAGCTCCCTCAATTCTGTACCGGTTCAACAACAGCACAGACAATGCAAGTTGCAACAAGCCAATCGACGAATTTCGTGCAATTCATCAGACATTCTTTTCCATCTCTTTCGACCTCTAAGCATTTAAGAAGGAAGGGTAGTTTTTAAATTACATGGCCAACCAAATAAACCCTCATTACAATGTCGTTGCTCATGGTAATGTTCCAAGAACCCATTAACTATTAATAATATCAGATGACGCGGCACCTTGGCATCTGACTCTACGTTTTCGATGTTTTCAAAGTCTTGATGGTAGTCTCCAAGAAGTACATGAGTTCTCAACAATCCAATCAGAGAGAAATACCCAAGTTTGAAATACAGCGCAGACTGTCCGAACTCATCTGCGACGTCGTCCGGGTTCTCTTAATTGCAAAACAATTTTAAAATAAGGTTGGACCACGATCGAAGCAACTTAAAAACATACCTTCGAGCTCTGATGGCTGCCAGCTGCTCGTTTATTTGCGATTTTGATAGTAGAGAATACAGAATATTAAGTACAGGATAAATATTCCAGGCCTAGAACAGAGAATAATAATTCCTCAGAGAAAAAAGGCAGTGAGAACAAACAGGAAAATAAAATACATTTTGGGCTTCCTCGATACTGATGAGCTCATCAACCTCGTCCACGCTTCGCTTTCCAGGATTCGCTTTGTAAAGGCAGAAAGCTTGGAACTGAAAATAGTACTTTCCAAACCGTAAGAAGAAATTATAAAGCTAAATCATACCTCTTGAGATTGGAGATACATTCTGCGACTATGAGTATATAGCGGGTAAGTTTGCTGCGAAAGTGAATTTCTTTGAACTGATTGTAAGACACCTGATCAGATCGTAATCGTCATATGAGTATCCCATAGCCACACATTGGGTAGACTTAGCGATACGGGATCTTTGCTGGATAAGATCTCTGAGAAAAGATCCTGAAATGGGAAATAAAAAGCCAGGCCATAAATTAGAAATGCGAGAAGCGGGAAGCTGAAAAGGTCATAACGTACTTGGTAATTCATGAACGATTCAAAACGGTGTGATAGTGATGGACCACGCTGATTTCGTGCATACACTTGCCGATAATAAAGCTCCTTGTATAAAATGATGAAAAGTCTGTTTTCTGAAACACTCATACTTTTGCAAAAAAGTTATCTAAACTATATATGGTTCAAAGGGAACCAAAAATTACAATAATTTTAACAGCTGAACTGCACAATGTATGCTAGGCACAGTTAAAAACTGAGAGCCTGTTCGTTTAGGTTTGATATTGAGCAGCTATTGCTATCGTGAAATGGGAATAGCCCATTCGTAGCATCCAAGCCAACACACCTCCGGCCAATCCGAACTCAATCCGGCAAGACAAACATGAGTATTGAGGATCTTGGGAAGATCACAGACAATTTGAATGTTAGGGAGAAAAGCAAATCCTATACGAAGTATTTCTACCACATTGTGTTGACTGTATTAACACGTTGACGACCGTGAGGTGTGAATGTCATTACCACAGTCGTTCACATAGATTAGCTAGTACTTATTTTCCTGGATGTGGCGTTTTTCCTGCTTCACAACTTCCAAGACCGTTATTGGATCCGGTTAAAAACATTTTTCCATCACTTGATCAGGAAACCTGAAGGAAACGCCTACTTGATGAGAGAATCCAAGAAAGGTTGAATGGTAGTACGAGTACAGAACGGCGGTCAGCTCAGTACGGTTACTCGCCCCGAGGAGAGAAAAAGTGCTGGCTTCGTCTGAACTGGCAAGGAGAAGGCGCTGTGACTTTTTGAGATTACCAGTGTTCGAGAAAAAATAAAAAACAAGACGATGAGTGCAAACTTCACCAGAACTAACAATCCTCCACCTGTTTGCTCATCAGCGCCAATTCCTTTTCGCGGATAGAATCCCTCAAATGACAGCATAAACACTTTTCTGTACCCAAAATGCGCGAGATGTGGTGTTTTTTTTTGATATGGCACGCCCTTTATTTCTTAGCTCACTTGAAGAGATATTTCGGTAGTAAATCCATTTGACCTTTTAACAAAACGCTGGCAAAACAACTAGCTCTGGTCAGTTCCTTCCCTATCGCCTGGTTGCTTCGTTGATTTAGTGAATATTCTCCAGATGTACTGTATGAAACAGTGAAAAACTCCAACGACTCGAAATTTAATAAAAAATACAAAAAGGTTTCAAAAATTTATAAATCTTCTTAAGGAAACTTTCAAATGTAGGTTTTAAACAACACCGAAATGATTACTCTCCTTCAAGTGAGAAGAACTTGAAGAACCTTGAAAACAGTAAATACCTCTCCGTCAAATCAGGGAAATGTTGTTCGTATAGATTGTGGATTTCCGGCACGTCCTTCTTCTCAATCATTTGAGCGAAGTAATCCAGGTAATCAGCAACCTCTGTCGGCACACCATCCTCGTCTACTAAAAATAATGCAATTATTTAGCTGCTTTCAAAGAGAACACCTGCGAGTAAAAAAGCGGGTCTATTCCAGTTAGGGGGCATCATGATGCAGTTTCTCGGCGAACTAGTGTGAACTCGAACATTCCAGCTTTTCACGCATGTCAAGTGACTGCCCTCACCCCCACCCCCTAGACTGGCTACACTCCCCTGGCTCGGAGTTACCCTAGCTTTCTGGAAAAACTGCATCATGATGCCCCCCCCCTAACTGGAATAGACCCAAAAAGCTAATATATTGCTTGAAAAACTAGCCTATGCGTCTTCGTTCTCTTTCGTATGCCAAATCCCTTTCTGGATCACCAGTGTGTGATTCAAACTTGACACTTCGTGTCCCTTCCATTTTGCCTGACATCAAAATTGTGATAGGCAAAGCGATAAAAATAAATATAAACTAACCGTTCTTTGTGAGCACACTCGAGAATAACATAGTTGGTTTCCAAGGCTAAATCAGGAATGCAAGTAAACTAAGGTGAAATCCCATATTATACATATAGATACTACGTGTTATAGGACATACTGAAGCAATGAGACACAATATAACTCAAAGAAGGAACGTGAAGCACAAAGGGAAAGAGAACTGAGAAAAATGAGTTGGGGTTTGCCTCCGAGCGCAGGTTCTCGCTGGAGCGCGCCCGTGTTAGAGGACTTCTGTCAGCCGGTCCTCAGGACCTATGTACAAGCCAAGGGTTCCTGAGCCCTACATATTCATATCTATCAATATATCTGGCACGTGGTGGACATTTGACATCCTTCTCCCAACACCTGCCAATTTTTGAACGTGATGTGTTCCTTAGTAAATCCGAAAAACGGTAAAATTTTTGGGCGCAGTCGAAATTTAGATGGGAATTTGTGTGTTTTAGATGCGAATTGTTTCAAAAAAATATATCTAGAGTTCAAGTAAGATTTCGCCAGAAAATTCACAGGCAAAAATTCGTAATCGTGTCGCGACAAGGTTTTGCAACCACTGTCATAAAACACATCGCAAGGCAACGTGTCAGACTTCGCGACCGATTCGCAAGCAAATTCGCGCGAACCTTAGTATGCGCTGTGATCGCAAAGCAGCCAGTCACGACGCAGGTCAGCGCCACACTGCTACCGTACCACACCGATGCCCCTTGCTCCAGCGTACATGGTGTAGCATTTATGTTCGGGTCCATTGGTTCAATGCATTCAGCGTATGCATAGATTTTGCAGTGAAATTTTAAAGCGAGAAATTACGATAAAATTTCTGTGCAGCATGGAAGAACGAGCAGCACTTCAAGCAGTAGCTAGAGCCCAAAGGAATCGAGATGTGGCCTTTTTGTGACTAAAGGTGCGCTCGTTGCAGCGCCCTGGGGCTGCCAATCCTTTCTGAGCTCCGCCTCCGCCTGTGCTCCGCCCCTCAGCAGATCGCTGTTCGATTATCATTCTGATAAGGTATGCCACTTCGAGCGCGTATCCAATTTTTTCTCATGGAATGCTATATCAATCAAGGTATGATCTCTGGTGGTATGATGGCAGCTATGGTTTAACGAGTGCCGACGACCTCTTAGTTGGTTGCCAACTCGTCCATTATCGGAGGTCAACGGGCAGAGGAAGTGGTCCCATTTTGCGCGTTTTTGACGGATTTCTTTGCTTTTTTCGCTACTAGGGCATTATTCAGCATCTTCACTTCCACTATGAGCACAACAGAATCCTATCGCAATCTCTCGCTTTAACCTGAGGTTGGTTCTGATTTTACCTACCAATAATGAGAACGCCGGGGGGGGGGTTCATGCTCAAAAAGACAGCCCTTGTCGCAGATAAGACAGTGGTGACCAGTGATGCAGGGGATTGAAAAAAAAAAATACACACAGCAGCCATACCCGAGAAACCATAAGACCTGTTTTTCTGCAAAATAATAGCGCGTTGGTCATATCTCATAGCCTGCTAACATCATCATGCTAAGCTCTGCTGCTAGGCGGCTAGAACCAGACGGCGAGAAGTTGGCCGGGCGGCGGCGAACGTGGCACTGGATTGATCGCCGGGACATATTCATCGTGACGAATGGCGTATCGGTCTGAACTATAAGGTCCGCCCATATTTCCACTAGCTAGGTGTGCCCCTTCTTTGACACCCGACCTTATCGTGGGATCCTCCTCCAAGTGAAGCGATTGCAATGTCCTGGGAAGGGGAGCCAATACAAAGACGTTATTGGCCGATGCCAGATTTTGCGATTGGAGCGATTTGGTCAAATGGGAGTAATGTGAACGCGAATGGTCGCGCGATTCACATTACACTCCATCTGACGCAAATCGCTCAATGCAAACTACATCGGCCCATTGTGTTGGAAAGGTGTTTGGGAGGCGGTCTCTAAACACAGCTTCTCCGCGCTCTAGAGGAGTGTAATCCGTGTCCCAATACCCCTTCCACGCAATGAAGTGCTCAGTTGCCGCTTTCCACTGCCCCTATTGAATCACTGTCTTCATACTAAATAAGCTACCATCATATAGTTAGGTTGATAGTACGGCAAATGCCCGCGCTCACAGCACGGCAGGGACTGAACATAGACTAATTTGAGAGATAATTCTGAGTAATGAACGTCATATTGGCGCATGCGACGTGGCCGGATCAGGCGATGAATTCAAAAAGAGAAGTGGGCACGTCGCCGATTAGGCGATTAGCGATCAGGCGGAGTAGCGAGTAAGCATAAGGGAAGCGACCCGTATGAATTCGTTGCTCCGCACATCGAGCGATCCTGACCGCCTGATCACCTAATCGCATGTACGATCGCCAACTCTGAACGTTCCATAAGTCACGTGCTTTGCTTCCATCAGCCATTTATGTGTGATAAGCTGACGTGTATAATTAAAATGAGATCTTTATCTTTATCACTGACAGCTGCTGTAAGCAAATGGAAGCAAGTAGCCGTTATTGTTAGTATGGACGTACTATAGGAAGGTGGGTTCATTCTGGTCTCCTGCTCTATAGGCACTCACTGTGGGGCTCTTTCCTTAGGCATCCAGTGCACATGTAAAACAGCATTGTGCTTGTCGTGCTTTGTTAGAGTGCCTGATACATCTTACCTTAGGAGCGGAGACGGGCGGCGCTCACTGTCGTGGGGGGGGGGGGGAGACCATTTCAGTGTGCGCACGATTTACAGAACATTTGGCCGAAACACTAGAGAAGGGAAAGGATTTTATGGGAGGGCATGACCAATTATTATTTTAAATGACGGTTCTCCCCTCTCCTGGGCTTGGCATGTCACCAACTCGCCCCGGATGTACCCTCTAAGCGAGCACTTGCGAAGATGACATGGGTAGATGCACCCCATTACGGCCGGAAACCTTATCCACAGGAATTGGGCATCTTTCCACCTGAAAGCTGGTGCGAGTCCGTTTCCGTCCTCGCAAAGTTACTGAATGTTGTCGGTAACTTTCACACACGGTCTTATGTTCGCGACGACCGATTCGAGAACGCTGGTCGACTTTTTGTGGAGAGTTTGGCAACCCTGATAAACGTCCATATCAACTACTTTGCTTGTTATCCCTTACTTACTGGACTGATGTGTCTGCATTACTGGAGGACCCATGCCACCCTATCGGTCAGTACGACTGCGGTCGGCCAATGGTATCTGCACAAATGCCATGCCTCTTCGCAATCACCAAAAGCACCTTACGAGGTTCTCTGAGAAACAGACCTGAACATCCTCCATCCGTCGAAGAACCACGATCCTCATTTCGCACACATCCCCGTTTGAGTGTCGACTGTCCGCGATTCGCCGCCACTATCCAGTGAGGCCGAACATTGCGTCCTATTCACCGTCGCGTAAGGTGTCAGGCTTTGCGACAGCAATTGCGATTGCGGCGTGTCATCGTCTTATCAATCGTAATGGCTAGCCTTGTGCGTGTGGAGCCACGAATTCGCGAAGAGGCGGGCCGCGACTCGCGCGGATACCGATCGCGCCCACATCCCTTTTCGTGAATCAGGGCCGGTGGCTGCATGGCCCCCGGCGAGGAGGCGTGGTCCTCCGAAAGTCTGCATCTCTGAACGATTCCTGCTATCGCTAGATCCGGGAGTACGCATGCGATTCGTCAATCGTCATCGTACCAATTCCAACCAATATACGACTCCTTTACCGCAGGGTCAACCCTACGTTGTTACGAGTAACAACGGGGGGGGGGTCGTACCTGGTTGAGTTTGTAGGAGGGGGGGGGGGGGGGGGTCGTACCCACTTTAGTCGCTCGAAATCACGTGTGGGATTGAGGGTGAAACTAAGAGGGGTTTATGGAGAGTTCGTGGGTAGTAGGATGTGCGAGTGGAGGGCGCGGGAGAAAATTTGCCGTTTCAGCGCGTGTATATTCCTCCTCCCGCTCGACGGCAGTTTTGGAGGAAAAAGTGGGCGGGTTTTGACGGAAGATGGAGATGATGGAGGGAGGGAAACGGGGTCGTAAATTTTCGAACAACGCATAGGACAGGCCCCGCTCTCTACTCCCATTTCTTCCCTACTCCCTCCCAGTGACCTGAATAAAAGGATAAAGGATAAGTTCTTGCTGTTGATCAATCCCATCTTGGGGCACGCATTCTCCTTCCATTACATTCGTAGTGGCGTTTGAATGCGATGTGGCCTATACAATGACTTGCGGGGCCAGCCGATGTTCAAGTCAGTGTTTTTATCCTCCCAGACAAGTCTGGTACCAATTAACCGACCCCGGAGGGATGGAAGGCTTGGTTGGCCCGGGCGACTCACGACCCAGGATTTGATCCCCGGACCGCTCGCGTGGTAAGCGTGCCACTTGCCACTACACCACTTCCGCCCCAAGACAGCCAAATATGACAAAAAATATTCCTCGACATTTGTTCACTTTGAGAGAAAGTCGACTGCGTGAACATTCTACATAAATCGCGAGATAAGAATTATCCTATCTAAGGGATAATATTGCAGCTCAAGATGTCATCCGATAACAAATCAAACGATGCGTCAAACTATGATCAACTTAAGAAGTTGGGTCCAATTTTAAATAAAATGCAACAAAGTGATCAGCCTCTTGAGGCACCACCTAGCCTCATCACCTGCCTTTCTGGCCTCGACACGGTTAGTTTGAATGGCAGTTCTAGAAATGTCGTTGACTCACAAGATAACTTACCTAATGTAGTGTAGTGCAATGGGTTAACTGACCAGTAGTGGAGAAATAGTATTATTTTGTCAAACTAAACTTTAAACTTTTTCTCCCGCGGTGACGTGTCGTAATTGCGGCTCCAGTGAGAAGCGTGGCAGACAGTTTTAAAAGACGCATGATATCGATTTTTCGAAGTTGTGGCCATGCGTGCTGCTAATTCTGCAATTACGACACGTTTCGCAACGTGAAACACGGTGTAGATGTGTTAGAGACATTCTACATTTGTGTCCATGAGGAACTCTAATTAACGAAGGGGCCAAAACATTTTGCACTAAATCTAGTCGGGGCGAACGGTATAACAAACAGCTGAGTTTGGTTTCCATTTGGGGAGCGTGTTGGAAATAAGATAATGCTGCTTATTCTCCAGCTCGATGGTACTCACAGTCCCACAAAGGATCAAGATACGGCGATGGTTCATACAGAACCCACACAAAGCAGCGTCCATTATCCTCATGAAGCTGACGCGATGGAGAGGGAAAGCACTAGTGAAATCTTTTGGCAGGTACTCACATTAAACAGTACGTAGGTACCATAAACGTGAAAGGTAACAAGGCTTTGATGGTGGCGAATATCAGAATGCCCATACAACTATTTTCCTTTAGACCCTAATACCCTTCCTAGTTGGAGGGTTTGGTTCCGTTATATGTGGGCTACTTGTTAATCAAGCTCAGAAAACACAACTTGTTTGCGAAGTAAGTCATTTCCAAATCATCTTGAGGCTTTTGGTTATCTACATAAAGTTTTAGAAGCAAGGATGTTACCATAAGAGCGGCCGTAGAGTCAAAATAGTCCAGGCACCAGCGTGGCATCAACCCTGACAAGGAAGGTCTTCAGAGCGTGAAACGCTTTTTCAAAACGGTCCAGTACTGTAGCGGCTCTCATGTGGGCTACAAAAGTGAGGCACATTTTGCTGAGCGGCCCCTGTAGGCTAAAAAAGGATCGAAAAGAAATTCGCTGGCAGTGGGTAGTGGGCTATTTCTACCGGATTTCGTGAAAATTTAACTGTAGGGTCACTGATGGTCGAGGTGATGGATTTGATACTTCCTGTTGTTGCTAGCGCTATGTGGAGCAAGTTTGGAAGCTACAACCTAGAATGCAAAAAATTCACCACAGGCAGAGGATTGAACCTTAGACCATGTTCTTTACCATTAACCAAGACTCATTGGGTCATCACCCCGAGAACTGGAGCTTTTTTTTATGTACCACTCATGAGTTTCCTGTTAGAATTGCAAGGATACCGTTTCGAGAAGCGCTGCCTTGCCCTGAAAGAACTCTTACTGTAATGGTACGGCGATAGTTTGGCGCGTTTTCGGCAGTATGAATGGTTAGTGGCATACGTACATCTAATCGCGCGATCATTTGTGATTCGTGGGAAATGCGGTGCAGAAGTAAACTCCTACGCGGAATGGTGTAGTAACCGCGTAGTAAAGAGCTGCCTTATTGCAGGGACCGACGGAAGTGGCAAAAATCACTTGCGGCCAAATTCAAAAAATTCACATCGGAATAGGATATTAATTAATCTTTGCATTATCCGCGTTACTACTTAGTTTGCAAAGAGGTCTTCTCTGTGAAGTGGTCATCGTTAAATTAGGTAAAACTAACACAAGTATTTCGCAAATGGGCAAGAAGCCTTGATCCATTGCTACCTGCGATCATTCACATGCCTGAAGAAGGGACTGTATCGAAGGACATTACTTATTTTCTAGTGTTTCCCCTCAAGATTGATTAGATGTCGTCGAACGATGCAGGAGAGCAGGAACATCCGTTATCAAGTCTTGGCGAGTAAGCATGGTTAGCGTTTCCACAGAATGATTAAAATGGTTGGCTAGCATCCACGATTGCTCGCATCGAAGGATGAAGAGATCGCTGACGTACCAGAAGTGGGCAGCGGAGCGGGGTGCATTGGCCCGATGCGAAAGGCGGTGCAGCGCCGACTGCACATCAGCTGGTGCGAGGAATGCCGAGTTCCTTCGGGCAGCAACAAGCAAGACAGATGGGGCCCAAAAGTTTGGCCAGGTCAGCGTGCGCGCTCAAACATGCCGACACGCAACATGGCTTCGCCCCTCACAATCATTTAATCACTGAGTTTGCAGGAGCATTCCGTCGACTGTGGCCGCGGTATTAATCGCCAAAAAGTTCTGATCGACCCATTCCGACTCAAAAGATCCGGGTCGCCAAATATCGCAATGAGAAGATTGAAATTGGAAGAGAGGCTAGTACGACACGAGCCGGCATCTAGTAAAGATTTGATGTAGGTATCGTGCTAATCGTGAGACCCGTTGCTTTTGCGGCACGCATTCATGTAGTGAAGATCAGCAAGGCTGTGCGATACTGTGACGCAGCGTATGAGGCCCATTCCCCTGGAGCAACTCCCGCTTGAAAGCAAAGTCGTGTCCGCCTTCTAAGGCGGGAGCAGCGCTCCAGCCCACGGAGCCAAATTTCAAGACAGGTGGAAGGCTTTTGAGCCCTGGCCCCGAGTCAGTCGCAGCAAGGAGTGACCTACTTGCCCCCTAATCTTAATCGTGAACTCTCAGTCTGGTCCGTGATTAAGAGCAAGGCATTCCGAGCTCAACCTTCAAACGGCAATCATTGCAAGCAGCATCTAAAGGAAGCCTGGGAAGGAAATGGATAAGGGATACCCGCGTGCAACGAAAGAACGGTGCAAGAGGCGACTCCGGGCCTGTATTTGTGCAGGTGGAGGACATTTTTGAAATCTGGTTGGTGTAGCCTATGTTGTTGGTGTATAATGATGTTTAGATCAAATTGAATCCACTTTCGGTCCAGGAAGTTGGGAAGGCATTGCAATAATTGCCCCGAGCAATTGTTGGGAACGACGCCTGTAAAACGGTGTGCTAAAGGCATGGACACGATAAAGAACTCCGGGGTTTCCGCAATCTCTGATCCTCACTAAATGCCTTTTTAGCCATGTTTTTTTCAGGTTCCTCATCTGATTGCTATTTTCGTACCATTGCAAGGTATGAAAGGCAATCTGGACATGACATTCACATCGCGATTGGGAACAATGGTAAGAGTGTCATCGAAAAAACCGGAACGGGAAGGTTATCGTTCTCTAAGTGAAAAAGTTGTCGCCATTTTCCAAGTAATTTTAATAAATAACCTTCATTAGGCTCATCAAGGGCGTCTGCAAGATTCGGGATACATGCCACGAATATCCAGAAACATAGCTTTACTGGAGGTACTCTAAGTAATAGTTGACTTTTTCATGAATGTGAGAGAATTTTTACAGGCGCAAGCCATTTTCATCAGTCTGTTCGCAGTGCTGATGACATTCGTATTGGAAAGTTTATGGCATGAGGGTGCAAAACATCCACCTGTCAATGACTTCCTTTTTCTTGGAGCGAACTCTCTATTCTCAATGTGTATTGCGAGTGCACTTTCGTCAGTTGGTTAGTGTTTATTTAAATTTACGGCGATACCACAACGATGTGCTTTCACTGTCCAAGGCGCCTATGCCTACCCGAGGGGCATGAACTGGCTATGGCCGATGTCAGACTTTGCGAATCGCGCGATTCGCAAAGTCTGACATCGGCCTATAGCATGATACGTGGAAGCATTGTGGAAACAAGCTTTTGAAACCGCGTAAGACTTCTTTCTGTTGAAGTCGGGACAAGGCCTTAGGCGAAGTAGGAGAGGCTCCAGGGTGCATGAACAATTCCTTGCCCAAAGTTCCTGCCCTTCTATGCAACGTCCCAGAAGATCGTATCGTGCCCCATATCTTGCGATGGCGCCCATGAACTGGAGAAGTCAAAAGACCTAGTGTTAGCGGGCAAACACTTGACAGCACATTCCGCGACAAATCCTTTGGAACAATCTCACCCATGAATGGTTCAGTTACGTACATCTGCGACCCTAGAGTTGGTACAACCTTCTCTGTTGGGACACCATGTGATCTCATTTCTTTTGTGGTTGATCTGTAACCTACGCGACCTGCCAGATTTTGACCAGAGATCTGGCGGGCCAGTACAGTATATAAGTGTACAGTTTCATTGCAATTCAGCTCAATGTCTTCCAATGAATATTCT